CCTTGCGCTTGGTACATTTGACATCTCTTGTTCCGAAGTCCTCCGCGTACCGTTTAGCGTTTGATAAACGGGCGTGTTGCTTCCTCCTGGGGTCTTTGTAGCGGGCCCGGTCGTGCTGCTTCTCCTTCTGAGAGCGTACCCGCAGCCACGCGGGTCTGAGAGCAATGCTCGGGCGCGTCTTGGGCGCAACCGCGGACGCGCTGTCAGGGATTGGCGCCACGCCCCGGTCGTGTTGCTTCGTTTTCTTCCGAAGCCGCGTAAGTCTGACAGCAAACCTCGAGCGCCCCTTGGCCGCAGCCGCGGATGCGCTGTCAAAGACTGGCGCCGCATCTCCTTCCTCGCCGCGCGCCTGCCCGCCTGGGCCCCCGTGCGAAGGCAGGGCCGCCACGAACGATCCCGCCAACGAGGTCTGGCCTGCGAAAGCACGTTTGCACGCAGCCCGAAGAGCATCATTGGTCTTGCACTTCCTGCTGCTGTACACTCCCAATGAGACCGCGAGCTTACGCAGATCTCTCTTAGGCATGTTACTCACATCGTCTGAACGGAGGCGTGCCGTTGGCACGCCAGTGCCGACGGCACCACTGGAAGTGTCTGCAGTCTCCAGAGCGGCTTCCACCGGCTGCGTCGGCTCGGCAGATCCCGGCCTCTCTGCGTGTCGGCGCCGGCCCTGCTGACCGCCTCCACCAGCGCCCGCCGCACGGGCGATCTCGTCGCGACCTGCGTCCGAGCTGTTGCCCGGAGCGGACGCCGCCGGCAGGCTCGGGCTGGCAAGGCCTGGCCCCATCGCGTGTCCGACCGAGCTCTCTTGCTGAGCGGCCTCCCGCGCCTTGCAGTCCGCGCGCACATCGGCAACGCTCCGATATAGCTTCGTCCCTGGTTTTCGAGTAGCCACTCCCATGGAAGCAGCGTCTTTCATGAGCTCAGGCTTCGGCATCTTGTCAACGGGAGCCATGAGACCGCGCGCGCGCCGCTGCCACTGGAGGGCGTCAGCGTGGCGCGTGGGCTCCGGAGAGGCGAGCGCCCGACTGCTGCCCCGCGGGGCACCTCGAGCCGCGAGTGGCGACGACGGCGACGGCAGGGGGACCTCCTGGAAGCGACGGCAGCAACGGCGACGGCCGCGACGGCGACGACGGCGACGGCGGCGGCAGGGGAACCCTCGTGAGGCTGGCGACCGACGGCCGACGGCTGACGGCCGACGACCGACGACCGACGACCGACGACGACGACGACGACGAGGACGAGGACGACGACGACGACGACGAGTGGAGGGATGCATATCTACACCTGGTGTTACATTACCTACACCTGGCGACGACGGCGGCGGCGGTCCGCGGCGGCGATGGCGACGACGACGACGACGACGACTCCGACCCCGACTCCGACTCCAACTCCGACTCCGACGACGGCGGCGGCGGCGGGGCGACGGCAACGACGACGACGCCGACGACGACGACGACGCCGAAGCCGACTCCGACGCCGACACCGACTCCGACACCGATTTTGACGACGACGCCGACGACGACGGCAGCGACGACGAGGACGACTCCGACTCCGACTCCGACTCCGACTCCGACGCGAACGACGACTGCGACGCCGACTCCGACTCCGCCTCCGAAGACGACGAATAGAGGGATGAATGTCTACACCTGGTGCTACATTACCTACACCTGACGACGGCGGCGGCGGCGGCGACAACCACGACGACGACGACGACGACGAAGACGACGACGACGGCGACGACGACGACGACTCCGACTCCGACGACGACTCCGACGACGACGACGACTCCGCCTCCGACGACGACGACGACGCCGACTCCGACGACGACGCCGACGACGACGACGACGACGACGACGAGTGGAGGGATGAATATCTACACCTGGTGCTACATTACCTACACCTGGCGACGACGGCGGCGGCGGCGGCGACGACGACGACGACGACGACGACGACGACGACTCCGATTCCGACTCCGACTCCGACTCCGACGCCAACGACGACTCCGACGCCGACTCCGACTCCGCCTCCGACGACGACGAATAGAGGGATGAATACCTACACCTGGTGCTACATTACCTACACCTGACGACGACGGCGGCGGCGGCGGCGGCGGCGACAACGACGACGACGACGACGACGACGACGACGACGACGACGACGACGACGACTCCGACTCCGACGACGACTCCAACGCCGGCTCCGTCGACGACGACGAGTAGAGGGATCAATATCTACACCTGGTGCTACGTTAACTACACCTGGCGACGACGGCGCCGACGGCGGCGGCGGCGAAGACGACGACAACGACGACGACGACGACGACGACGACGACGACGACTCCGACTCCGACGACGACTTCGACGACGACGACTCCGCCTCCGACGACGACGACGACGCTACGACGACGACGTCGACGATGACGACGACGACGACGACGACGACGACGAGTGGAGGGATGAATCTCTACACCTGGTGCTACAGTACCTACATCTGGCGGCGACGGCGGCGGCGGCGACGACGACGACGACGACGACGCCGACGACGACGACGACGACGCCGACACCGACTCCGACGCCGACACCGACCGACTCCGACGACGACTCCGCCTCCGACGACGACGACCACGCCGACTCCGACGACGACGACGACGACGACGACGAGGACGACGACGACGACGAGTGGAGGGATGCATATCTACACCTGGTACTACATTACCTACACCTGGCGACGACGGCGGCGGCGGCGGTCCGCGGCGGCGATGGCGACGACGACGACGACGACGACGACGACGACTCCGACCCCGACTCCGACTCCGACTCCGACGACGGCGGCGGCGGCGGGGCGACGACAACGACGACGACGCCGACGACGACGACGACGACGACGCCGAAGCCGACTCCGACGCCGACACCGACTCCGACACCGATTTTGACGACGACGCCGACGACGACGGCAGCGACGACGAGGACGACGACGACGACGACGACGACGCTGGAAGGCCCTCGGCGAGGCGCAGCCGCGTACAATACAACCAGCGGGGACCCCTAAAAAAAGGATAGAGAGGACGGAGCGGGGACAAGAGAGGACGGACGGCGGCGGAGCGGAGTGGGAGGACGACGACGACGACGACGAGGACGCGAAAACAGCGCCGGAGCTCCAGGCAATTTTCACTCGGCAGCCCGGTCCAGCAACGACCGATGATCGACGAACATGGCCCCTAAGACCCTCGGAGGATGAGGAAGCTAAGATGGGGAGGAGGAGGGAAAAGGAGAGGTCCAGAACCGAGGTGTGCGTGGTGGAGGAGAACCTGAGAGAAGACCTCATTCGCTGTCTCATTCGGTCTCACTACCGATCTGACAATCGATATCACTATCCACGTCGTCATCATCATCATCGACATCACCATCAACATCATCATCACCATCAGCATCATCATCATCGTATTCATCATGATTATCAGCATCACCATCATCATCATCATCATCATCATCATCATCATCATCATCATCACCATCACCATCATCATCAATGTCGTCATCATAATCACAAACATCAACACCATGAAGGCCATCATCACCATCAACATCGCACAATCGATCTCACATTCGGTCTCACTACCGATATCACAATCGATTTCGCAATCGACGTCATCACTATCATCAACATCAACATCATCATCATCATCATCATCATCATCATCATCATCATCATCATCATCATCGCCATCATCATCATCATCATCGTTATCACCATCATCATCATCATCATCATCATCATCATCACCATCATCAGAATCATCATCATAATCATCATCAACATCATCATCGGGACACCAACGGGACACGGACGGGACACTGGCGGGACACCGGCAGGACACCGCGCCGCCCCAGCCGCCCGGAAGGGAATCATTTCGTCCAGCCGCGCCTCAGCCACACGGGACACCAGCGGGACACCAGCGGGACACCGCGGGGCCCCGGCCGCCCGGAAGGGAGTCGTTTGGTCCGGCCGCGCTTCAGCCACACGGGACACCAGCGGGACACCGGCGGGACACCGCGGGGCCCGGCCGCCCGGAAGGGAGACATTTGGTCCGGCCGCGCCTCAGCCACAGGAAACTTTCTCTCGCCCGCCCACGCAGCTTCGCCTCGCCCGCACGGCACGCACGAACACGAAACCGAAATCGATTTCCCGGTAGGGGGGCTCTCCGTTCCACTTCGATCTCACCCCCCAACCTCTGATACATAGATCAGTGTATGTATATATATATATATATAGAGAGATATATATATATATATGTATATATATACATGTCTATATATATACATACATACATATGTATACGGATAGATGTTGGTCTGAGGCCCCCAGCCACCACGCCTGGCTTGTGGGTCAGAGGCCTCTGGGACTCTTGGATGCATCTTAGCGTCTCTTGGGATGCCTTTCGTGCTCTCGGGGGCCTCTTGGAAGCTTCTTGGGGCCTCTTTGGGGCGTCTCTTGGGCCGTCGGGGGGCGATCTTGGGGGCCTCTTGGGTCATTCCGGACCGTCGAGCAGTAGAAAATCCCAGAACGCTAACGTCACGCAAAAAACCTTCAGAGAAATCATCGACCTTGGCATCTCTGGGCCCTCTCAAGGGGCGTTTTGGGGCCCCCACTGGAGCCCTGGGGTGTGAGCCCGCGGGCCTCGCGGACGGCCTCCGCTGCAGCCTCCAGCCACTCCCGCGCTCCGCCGCGAGCCCGCGGCCACGTTCTCTGGGGGTCGCCTGAGAAATCAGTAGACGCCCTGGACTCTCAGGGCTAGGTTTCGTGTGGAAGGTTTCTTGTGGACTGGCCTCCACTGTAGGTTCTCGAGCCTCGAGCCGCGATTTCCTCGAGCCTGGAGCCTTCGTCCTCGAGCCTCGAGCCTCGATCCCCCCCCCAAGGAGCCTTCGTCCTCGAGCCTGGAGCCTCGGTCCTCGAGCCTGGAGCCTCGGTCCTCGAGCCTCGAGCCTCGAGCCCCCTCCAAGGACGTGGGCGCCCTGGACTCCGTCCTCGCCTCCCTGCCTGGCGGCGGCAGCGCGCCCTCGCACCTCGTGCAGCTCGAGCGGCGCTGGCCCCCGTCCCCGCCCCCCTCTGCGAGGATCGAAGCACGAAGAACATCGGGGGCTGAGAAGGAGAAGGCCTTCTCAGAATTGGCGGCGGGCCCCCTCGCGCCTTCTGGGAGGTTGTCTTCGCTGTCTTCTTCGGGGAAGGCTCAGAGAGAACTTCTCAGAAGGCCAGGGGACTCCCGAGTCTTCTGAGAAGGCCCGCCCCTTCTCACTTCGCCCCCGGGTTCGCCGCCGAAGCGAGACATGCTTTCTCGGAGCTCCGCGCGGACTTGCATTAACTCGGGCATATCCCCTCTACAGGAGGAAGATTCCAACATGGTCAAAAAATAGTCCGGGCACGATTGGCTTACTACTCTTGACTATTTCCGAACATGGTTTGGCCATGTCCGCCTTTCCTCCGAAATCCGCCTGTAGGCGGACACGCCCGGCCTGAGAATTGCATGCCTTTGGGGGTCGGCGTGGTGGCCCCCCCCCCCAGCGGCGCCCCCCCCCCTGGCGCCTCGCCCCTGGCGCCCCTGCCGCGCGCCAGGGCGAGGGGGGGGTTCCCGGCGCCGACTCCTCCTCCCCCTCCTCCTCCCCCTCCTCCTCCCCTCCTCCTCCTCCTCCTCCTCCTCCTCCTCCTCCTCCTCCTCCTCCTCCTCCGCCTCCCAGATGGGGTCCGAGTAGATGGGGTCGGAGGATCGCGCCGCATGGCCGATGCATCGGCGATGCGGCTCGATGTCGAGCCCGATTTTCTCCACGCTGGCGTCGCCGATGCATCGCCGATGTCGCCGATGCATCTCGCCGATGCATCGGCGATGTATCGCCGATGTACGGCGATACGGCGCGATCCTCCGACCACATCTTCTCCGACCCTATTCCTATTCAGGAGGTCGCTAGATCCGCAAGGAGCTCCAGAAGTCGAGGCCGGTGCCGCTTTCCCAGGCCCCCAACGCAGTCATGTTTTCACGACGTGGCCCTCAGAGGTCTGGAGACCTCTTCCCAGGACAGCCGGTTCCTCCCCCTGAGTCGTGCTTTTTGTCGGCTTGGAGGCCCAGTGGTGATGGCCCATCTGAGGCCGAATCTAGCGAAAATTCTTCAGGCCTTTTTTTTTCTGGCACGCGTGGGAGTTGGGCCTGTTGGTGTAGTGTTAAGTCGGGCGCGTCCCACCACAGGAGGAAGTTTCAAAAAATAGTCGAAGAATCGTCCCGGGACGATGTGTGGACTATTTTGGCACATCTTTGAGCATTGTTTGGCTATTTGCTATTTTTCGTCCAAAATCTGCTTGGAGGAGGACACGCCCGACCTGAGTGTAGTTTTTGTTTCCCCGCGAGGAGGCGGCCGAGCCCTCGGGCGGCGCGGGTCGGGGCGGCGCACGCCGCCCAGGGGGGCCTCTCGCCAGCGGCCGGCGGAGCGCACTCGTGCGACGGCGGCCCGCTGGCGACGCAGATCTCCACGGGGGCGGAGTGCGTGACGGGGCGGGGGAAGTCCGGGAGAATCAGCGGGCGAAGAACGGTGTGAGAGAAACTTGTCCGTCGCCAGCGGCGCTGCCCCAGGGCGGCTGGAAGGTTGATACCTAAACGTGCCACCGTGAGGGTAGAAGCTTTCAAGCCGCCCTGGGGCAGGCGCCCCCGACAGCGACAAGGTGTATGTCATACCGCTTTTCGCCCGTCAAAAGAAGAGGGTCAGAGAAGGAAAAGGTGCCGGTATTCGAAGGAGAAGAAACTGCATAAGTATAAACTGTTGGCGCTCCGCGCAGATTTCTTGGATCCGCGCTGGGCGCCCCCCGGCAGCGCCTCCAGCGCCGCCACTGGCGCGCTCCGCGCGCCAGGGAGGGGGGTCCAGCGCAGATCCAAGAAATCCACGCGGAGCGCTCCATGTTCATGTTCATGTCGTAGCTTGTTCTTGTGATGCAGCTACCCTTCCCTCGTTTTCCCTTTTTGGGCCTTCTGGGAGCGCGCGGGGGCTCGACCACACCGAACGTAGCTCAGTCGCTATTGTCCAGCCCATGCCTTCCCCAGGCACAAATGATACCTCTGGAGACGGGTGGCCACCAGGATCCCGCCCCAGTCGCAAGGCCGCTTACCATCAGCGCGACGGGACTCAGCACCAACAGCCTCACATGTACGAGCGAGACGAGCAGTGCAACGACGAGCACGTCTCTGAGCAGCGCGCCATGGATCAGCGCCCCATCACGGAGCAGAACGACGGGATCAAGTAACACGGCGTGGCGCATCACGACGGGACCCCGTACCAGCAGTCTCACATGTACGAACGAGGCGAGCAGGTCAATGAGCACCACATCCGTGAACAGCGCGTCTGCGATTAGCACAGCGCGACGGGACGGCCTGGCAACGCCACCGTGAACGAATTGGGCACCACGGCGGCAAGCGTGGGACGATTCGGCACGTCGAGCATTGCGACGGGGTGGCGCGTTGTGCACGGGACGGCGCGGGGCGCCTTTGGAGGGGGGGGGGCCGCCAGGATCCCGCCCCAGGCGCCGGGCCGCCTACCCTGCAGGCTACATGGGGGTTCGACCACGCGGAACGCAGCTGAGCCCCCACCGCCCCACTCCGCGTCCGAGAAGGCACAAGGCCACGGAGCCTCTGAAGACGCATGGCCACCAGGGCCCTGCCCCGGGCGCAAAGCCGCCCACCAGCAACACGATGGAGGCGAGCACCATCACGTTAAGCTGCACGACGGGATCCACCACCATCTGCCCCACATCTGCGAGAGAGACGAGCACTGCTACGCGCACCGCGTGTTTGAGCAGCGCGTCCAGGACCAAGATCCCCACGCGAAACGGCATGAAGGAGTCGAGCACTGCGAACCGTAACTGCTCAGAGACGCAGAGCCACGACGGGACTTCACACCATCGACTTCACACCACTGTGACGCATTCGCGCACCAAGCTCCGCACCACGGGACGGGACGTTGCGCAGCGCGACGGGACAGCGCGCGTTGCACCACGACGCTGCAAGTGCGACAGGTCGGCACGGGGCGCCTCTGGAAGGGGGGAGGGGCCACCAGGACCCAGCCCCAGGCGCCAGGAGCCCACGCCCCCCCCCCCCCCGCGTGCGAGAAGGCGCAAGGCGATGATGCCTTTGGAGGCTAGTGGCCACCGGGGCCCCACCCCAGTCGCCAGGCCGCCCGCTAGCAGCGCGACAGGGCTCAGCACCAACGGCCTCGCGTACACGACGACGAGCAGTTCAACGACGAGCGCGAATCTGGGCAGCGCGCTATGGATCAGCGCCCCAACACCGAGCAGAACGACGGGATCAAGCAACACGGCGCGGCGCATCACGACGGGGCCAGGTACCAGTCCCACATCTACCAATGATGCGAGCAAAGCAATGAGCACCACGTCCGTGAACCGCTCGCTTGCGACTAGCACCCCGACGATTCGCGGCACCATCGAACCGCGCACCACGACGTTGAACAGCGCGACGGGACGGCACGGCAACGCTAGCGTGAATACGCTGAGCACCACGGCGGCGAGCGCGGGGCGGTTCGGCACGTCGAGAGCGCGACGGGACCGCACGGGGCGCCTCTGGAGGCGGGGGGCCACCACGACACAGCCCCAGGCGTCAGGCCGCTTCCCACGTCACTCGGAACGCAGCCGAGCCCCCGCCGCCCCTCCCTCGTCCTCCCCGCGGCCGAGCAGGCGCGAGGCGTTGATGCCTCTGGGGACACGTGGCCACCAGGACCCTGCCCCGGGCGCTGACGACCTCAATGACGACCCGCGCGGGGTTGGCGACGAGCGTCAGACTGAGCCCCCAGGCGGGCCACCGCCGCCGCCGCAATGCTGGACAGCGCTCTCCACGCCCAGGCCCTCAACGCAGCGGGCTCTGACAAGAGGCCGCCGCCGCACCCCGCCAGGGCACGGAGCCTCCGGATTTCAGCACCCACCAGGGCGAAGACATCCGAGTGACTCACGCAGCGCAACGCCTCACGGTTGCCGGTCAATCTGCCGACCTCGCTCGCGGGAGTGCCCCCATTAGCCTCGTTGCGGGGTTAATCTGCCGACCTCGTTCTCCATCAGCGCGACGCCGCGTCGGTGCGCCACAAGTTTTGCTCACATTTTGCGCAGCACCCAGGAGCCGTCAGGGCCCCGTCTTGACAGTATTCAAAGAGCACAGGCCGCCTGTAATGAACTCCACCAGACCGTCCGATCGCACACTCACCTCGGGGCCTCTCCCCAGGTAACCACTAGGCGTGCTTTGAAGCTCACCGCTAGCACGCCAGCGCTAGCCTCGCCATGTTCTGAGCGCGCCGCGAGACTGCCGGCAACTTACCCGCGCGGCCCCAGCACCTGGGGCGCCGCGGGAGATGCCCCTAAGCGGCGCCATGGTTCACTGAGCTACCGAGGCGCGCATGCCAGCGCGCGCTTGCAGCCGGCGCTAGTTTTTCGCGTGCGCGCGCGCGTGTGCGCGCGTGCGCGCGCGCGTGCGCGTGTGCGTGCGCGTGCGTGTGTGCGTGTGTGCGTGTGTGTGCGTGCGTGCGTGCGTGCGTGCGTGTGTGCGTGCGTGCGTGCGTGCGTTTGTGCGCGTGCGTACGCGCGTGCGTGCGCGCGTGCGTGCGTGTGCGCGTGCGCGTGCTTGTGCGTGTGCGCGTGCGTGTACCTGTGCGTGTGTGTGTGCGTGTGTGGGTGTGTGCGTGTGTGTGCGTGCGTGCGTGTGTGTGTGTGTGCGTGCGCGTGCGTGGGTGCGTG